TAAATACGAATCCTGATGTTCTGTGTGTTCGTTTAATTACCAGAAAATACACAACAGAAAAAATATATTATTCATTATTATTATTTATTCATTTTAGATGTTTACATTTGGAAAAGCTGTGCTTCCTGCATAAACCTGCCCCTGTTGGTTTGGCAGTAGCTTGCTTGCCCTACACAGTTACCTTGTTTAATTTCTTAATTCATGTTATATATATTTTGTTCTATTTGTGTTTTTCAGGTTATTTATAATAAGTGAAGTGAAGTTTACTGTTAAGTGCACTGATGTCAGACTCGCTTTGAATAATAAAGTTTATTATTAAATTGTTAAATACCCTGCCTCCATTACATAGGCCTATGTTTGTCACATCATTATAAGTGTTTGATCACCACATTTGAGTTATCATTGCAAAAAATGTGTTTATGTATATATATTCTGTTTATGTAGGCTATATACTGTATTCTATATATAGTACCAGTCAAAAGTTTGGACACACGAATGGGAAGTGTGTCCAAACTTTTGACTATACTGTACTATAATATAGCCTACACATAAAGAATATCGGCCGATATATCGGTATCGGTCTTTTTCTACTCCCTAATATCGGTATCGGCATCGGCCCTCAAAAAACCCATATCGGTCGGGCTCTAATCATTATATTACTTTTACACCGAGATTGGAATGTCTATTAGTAAAATCTCTTGACTTTAGGAATAAATTATATTGTACACATTTTCAGTGGTCAAAAGCCAAATGTGGGTGACTTTGCATTCAGCTGATACTTTTTTTTTTTTAAGAGGAAGGTCTGAAGAACAAATGATATTGAAAATAGAAATGCATCTTGTTTCCCTCTATCAAAACAATTGCATAGAACATAGGTTACCTGTCTGAGTGCAATAAATATTCATTTTCCAAAGTTTGCATGCTTATAACTCAAGAAGTGTTAAAAATATCTCAATATTATTTAAAATTCTGGTTCTTAATAAACTTTTCTTTTGGAATCTTCATTAAGGCCCTATATGGTTCAATCCCAGAGATATGGGGAGCCAAATGTGTCCAATTTGTTGAATTTTACCAATTTTCAGTGTTTCAAAACCAAATGTTGGTCACTTTGTATACAGCTGATGCTTATTATATTTAAAGTGCAATGTCTTAAGAATAAATAATGTTGAAAATTCAGTTGTTGCTTGTTTCCCTCTATCAAAACAATTACATAGAACATACATGTCTGAGTGCTATAAATGCACTGAAATTGTGAAGTTGAGGCACATTAACTTGCCCTCAGTAGTCTATTCATAATATTCCATATTTGAATCAGTTTCAGGAATATTTTAAAGAAGGGATTTTGTTCATTTTAACAACTTGTGGAGCTACAAAGAGTTCAAACATGCAGTATTGTAATTATTTTTGAAACAAATCCCTCACCTCCTAGGGAAGTGTGGTTGCTTTCCCCATACAGTGTATTCACATCAATAAACCAAGATTGCCTCACCTGGAATAAGTATTGCACTTTCTTTTTCTTATTTATTGGTATAACATATGAAGCATAAAGATCAAGTAGTAGGCCTATCTCATGCTAAGGGGCATATTTGGAGGGACCACTGATAGTAAATCAAATTTTTAAACTTTTAAGCTCTCTCACACTTGAAATAATTAACACTGGGTAATTCTAAACCCCGGGTAAATGGGATCCTGAGTAATCTTATTTTACGTTTTACTCTGTTCATATTTTACCTGGAGTTAATGATTAAAGGGATAGTTCACCCAAAAATTAAAATTCTGTCATTAATTACTCACCCTCATGTCGTTCTAAACCCGTAAGACCTCCGTTCATCTTCGGAACACAAATTAAGATATTTTTGGTGAAATCCGAGAGCTCTCTGACCCTGCATAGACAGCAAGGGAACTACCACAGTCAAGGCACAGAAACGTAGTATAAACATTGTTAAAATGGTCCATGTGACATCAGTGGTTCAACCGTAATTTTTACAAAGTTACGAGAATACTTTTTGTGTGCAAAGAAAACAAAAATAGTGACTTTATTCAACAATTCTAATCCCCCGAGTTACCATCTACCGCCATTATTGAGAGTAACACGAAACATTATGTAATATTCAGATATTTTTAATACTTCTTAAATTGCAGGCATGCAAACTTTGGACAAATAATATGTTCTATGCAATTGTCTTGATAGAGGGAAACAAAATACATTTCTATTTTTAACATTTGTTTTTCAGACCTTCCTCTTTAAAAGAAAAAAGTATCAGCTGAATGTAAAGTGACCCACATTTGGGTTTTGACCACTGAAAATGTATGCCGTTTAACAATTTACTCATGGAGCCATATTTAGATCCCAGTATCTCTGGAACTGAACAATACAGGGCCTTAAATGAAGATGCCAAAAGGAAAGCTTGTTAAGGCCTAAAATCTAAAAGGGCATCATTTTCATAATTGATTAATTTTGCAACATTAACACTGTTATTTTCCTGTTTATTACTGTTACTGCTTTGAATTAATCAGTATTTTATATAAAGTGCTATAGAAATAAGTCTTCTAAGAAAGTAAATAGAGCTAGTTTTGATGTCTTGTTGTTTTTAAGATTGTCATGCAGATTATTTAATGTTTAATATTTGTGTTTTCAGCTGAACTGCAGTCACAAACCAAAGACTGACCACACGCTCGCCTGCACAGACATCATGGCTAAAGATGTGAGAATCACACTTATTACAATATTACTCACTCAAACATGTGTAAAACTATATCTGAAACTAAAATTAAAACCAAATATCTGAAACTAAAATTAAAACAAAAAGCCTTTCTTTGGCCTGCGCTCTGGAAGTGATCTGTTAAATCTAATAAACTTGAATTAGTAAAACTAAAACTGAAACTAAACTATATAAAAACTAAATAGAAATGTGTTCACAAAATAAAAACTAAACTAAAACTAACAAAATTATTAATGAAACTAATAAAAACGAAACTAATTTTTATTGCAAATTTGAAAATGATATTAAAATAAAACGAATTTTAAAATGCTAAACTATAATAACCTTGGTCTCCAGCAACATTTCCAGTTTTTGTTATTGTTCGATTTTTTTTGTTTTCTGCAGCGACTCGGAGCACTTTTCATACCCTTTTTTTCTGGCTGAAGCACATTTTTCAATCTATAAGAATTATCAGCCTACACTACCAGTCAAAGGTTTTTGACAGTAGGATTTTTAATGTTGTTGTATTTTAAAAATTTTTTTTAAGAATTCTCTTCTGCTCAACAAGGCTGCATTTATTTGATCCAAAGTACAGCAAAAACAGTAAAATTTTGAAATATTTTTACTATTTAAAATTGCTTTCTATTTTGAATAGATTTTAAAATGTAATTTATTTCTGTGATCATACATAGCTAAATTTTCAGCATCATTACTCCAGTCTTCAGTGTCACATGATCCTTCAGAAATCATTCTAATATGCTGATTTG